GGTGGCCAGACCTCGTCCGACGTGCAAGTGGCCATGTGTATGGTGAAGCAGGGCTTGCACAGCAGCAGCCGGCAGCGCCCGCACCCGCGGTTGAGCACGACCTTCTGGCAGTCTCTGCCTCAATGGCGGTCGAGCTGCCCCGATCGTGCCCCCTTGTTGCTGCGCGGGCATCCTCGCCGCGCTCCTCGAATGCACACGCCTGGACCCGATTCTGCCTCGGCTACGCGCTCGACCCACGGGCCCTACAGACGCCCTTGCGACCGCCAGCGCCGCCGACAGAAAATGACCCGAGATGTGCCCGTGCTCCTGTCCACGCGAGGCGAACACTTGCATGACCGCCCCATTACAAAATGACGAATCGCCAGGTATGCACGATCTGCGCTGCCCTCATCTCCGCCGTGCCTCCTGGGAGCCAACGAGAGTGGTGACAACTGCGCACGGCCTCCAAGGGGAGCAGCGAGGTCTCGGCAGGATCCGCGTGGCCCAGGAGCCTTCGGAAGTGGTGACAGCTGCGCAGTTCGGAGATAACCAGACCCCCCTTTAGTAAAACGTGGTTTGGTGAAAACAACCTGAGGCCCAAACCTGGCGGGGCGGGCGCAAGCCTGGAAAATAACGGCCACGGCGCCCTCTCGAGAACCGAAAACGGACAATTCACGAATCGACGTGTCACTGTTGGGGGTTCTGTCCACCCCCGAACAGTTCGCAGCCACCCAGGGAGCAGCGAGGCCTCGCCTGGGTGCGCGTGGCCCCCGATAATCCGCTGGACCTCCTAGGAGCCCACGAAGGTGGCGACAGTTGCACAGTTCGCAGCCACCCAGGGAGCAGCGAGGTCGCGTCTGGGTGCGCGTGGCCCCCGATAATCCGCTGGACCTCCCAGGAGCCCACGAATGTGGCGACAGTTGCACAGTTCGCAGCCACCCAGGGAGCAGCGAGGTCTCGTCTGGGTGCGCGTGGCCCCCGATAATCCGCTGGACCTCCTATGAGCCCACGCAAGTGGCGACAATTGCACAGTTCGCAGCTTACCAGGGAGCGGCGGGACTCGTCTGGGTGCGCGTGGCCAACGACCCCGCTGGACCTCCCAGGAGCCCACGAAAGTGGCGAAGCTTGCGCAGTTAGCAGCACCCGAGGGAGCCACGAGGTCTCGCGTGCGTGACCCTCACCTCCGCCGTGCCTCACAGGAGCCAACGTGCGCGGCGACAAATTGCGCAGTTCGCAGCCCCCGAGGAAGCCGCGAGACCCTAAATGGATCCTCGCTGCCCTTACATCCGCCGTGCCTCCCAGGAGGCCTTCAAGGGATCGCCGCTGCCCTCACCTCCGCAGTGCCACCCAGGAGCCCACGAACGTGGCGACAGCTGCGCAGTTCGCAGCCCCTGAGGGAGCAGCGATGTTAAAACTTCTCCCCGCTGCCCTCTCTTCCGCCTTGATGCCCAGAACCCCCGAAAAGTGCCGCGGCTGCGCAGTTCGCCCCCGCCGAAGGAGCCGCGAGTGGATCCGTGCTGCCCTCAAGCCCGCCTCGCCTCCCGGGAGCCCACGAGAAGAGGCGGCAGCTGCGCAGCTCGCGGCCCCCGAAGGGAGCCGCGAGGTCTCCAAGAGGATGCCGGGTGCCCTCACCTCCGCCGTGCCCCCCCAGGAGCCCGCACAAAGTGGCGACCGTTGTACCGTTTGCAGCAACCCCGGGGGCAGCGGAGGAGACAGGAAGAATGCTGGGATGGTCACCCTGCTTGGTAGCGACTTGGCTGGACTATACCAGCTTAGCCGCCAACTTAGGAGGTTAGCATATCCTACAACGAATCGGGTTACCAAGCTACTTACCTAAGCTGTTTAGCCAGTGGCCCTATCCAGGTTAGCCCAAGGATCCTTTCCAAGTTAAGGAGCTTAGCGAAACACAGCTAACTAGCAGCTAACCTACTTAGTTGAACTTGTTAACGACTGATCTTCGAAGCATATATGGCCCGCGGGCCCTACATGATTTGCCAGGGGATCTACCGAATGCCAAGCTGAGTTTGGAATTACTCCTTCCGTGGATCCGAAAAACGCTTTGCAAAGATGCGTTGGGATCTTCCTTCTCGCAATTCTCCTCCTCCTCCCTCCTCCTCCTCCCCCCTCCGCTTTCTTCTCCCCCCCCTCCTCCTCCTCCTCCTCCTCCCCCCCTCCTTTTCCTTCTCCTCGTCATGAATGAGCCTCTCGCCCTCCTCCTCCTCGTGCTCCTCTTCCTCCTCCTTCTTATCCTCCTCCTTCCGCTTATCCTCCTCCATGTCCCTCTGCTCCGCCTTGTGTGTCCTGTTCCTCCCCCCTCTTCCTCCTCCTCCTCCTCCTCCTCCTCCTCCTCCTCCTCCTCATCCTCTTTTTTCCTCCTCATTGTTATCCTCCTCGTCCTCCTCCTCCTCCTCCTCCTCGTGGTCCTCCTCTTCCTCCCCCCTCGTCATTATCACGCTTGTCCTCCTCCTCTTCCTCCCCCTCCCCCTCGTCTTTGACCATCTCCTCCTCCTCATCCTCCTTCTCTTGCTCTGGAGGAGGAGGCGGTGGAGGAGGAGGAGGAGGAGGCAGGTCATGAGGCCAGGTGCGCCCCCTGCAGTGCTTCAACCAGCCTTGCCCGCTAACTGCTTCACGCACTCAGGCAAAAGAACTTGGGACACGTCGCCAGCCGTCGCTGGCCAAAAAATGCACGACTCGAGGATGGCTTCCGAGTGGAAAATCTGAGGACGATCAGCAACCAAACACTTCGCAACATGAGCGCTGCTCTCTAGGACGGACCAGGGCGAAATACACGAAACTAAAGTGTCATCAACTTGCGCGTGAAAGTAAACCTGACCGAACCCCACAGTTCGGTCATCGTAAAGGAAGGCAACGGTGTCGCCCATCTGTGAAACACGACAGTTGACGCAAACCGCCTTCCCTGTAGTGACAACGCTATTTGGGCTAAGGTGCATGACCGAATCGAGTGCTTTGCGAAGCTTCTTGCCTGCAGCCCTAGCCTCGAGCAAAGTAGGCTTGACGAGAGGACTCTGTAGATCCCAAAGGTGCTGTACAGTTACTTCCTCGATGAGGCCCTTTTCGTAGCCTTGCAACTTGCATCGAGGGGTGGCCATCCTCTTCAGCACTCTGTGCTTTCTTTCCATCAGAAACGTGCTGAGGAGGAAATGGTGTCTGGCTAGCTGGCGCCCTAAATGCGTGCAGTAATGTGATTTGGGTTTCCAGAGCTCGTACGTGTACGCCATCTGCTGCAGCGCAAAATGATGGCGAATGGCGTCGTCAAGGACGTCAGGGTTAACGACGCCCGAGTTCGCCCTCGAAAGAAGGCTCAACACCTCACACAGCTGGATGGCGCTGCGAACCTCCTGCTGGCAAACCCCCTTCTTCCTCACCACGTCGATGAGATACTTATGTAGAATGGGAACCGACGACAGAAACTCCGAAGCAGACCCGCTTGCCGTACCATCCTTGCACAAACCCTTGGCGTCGGCATAACCTGCGGGCCATGTGAACATCTGCAGGTATCGTTGGAAGACTTCGGAGCCGAGGCCGTGGGGCTTGAGGCGTTCGAGAAGGCATCGGAGTTCCGCCACGTAGACGCCGTCGATTAGGTAGCAGTGCATCCAGTCCCAACACCACGCAGACATTAAGCCGAGAGACACAAGGTTGATGTCTTGAAGCCAGCTCGTCGACGAATACTTGTAACCAAAAGCAATCTCGAGCTCCTCGAGTTTTGACGGCTCGCCCAGCGCTGCAACTTCGGCCAGACGAGATTGCATCCCAATAACTGAAGCGTCAGTGTGCGGTTCAAACTGATTGATGTCGAAACACGTGGACGACACTAAGAAACCTGTGGGGTCTGGAAGCCAATTGCTCCACCAACTGGCTGCGTTTTGGCAACACCCGCACAATTTGTGCCCTCCCATGCCTTTAACACCTGTGGCGAACTTGAACGCCCGTTCATCCTGGATGATGCACTCGAGCTTCCCCGTCAAGATACGGGGAGAGGCTTCCCCTGGGATCTTGAACTCAACGCCCTCCCTCAAGTCAAAACCGTTGGGCCGCCCAAAGAAGAAGCGAAGGATGTGCGCAAACAGCTCTGCCATCCCACCCTCCAGTGCATCGGCAACGTCCGCGCGACAGCCAACGATAGTAAACCACGACAGCTCGTTCTGCAAAGCGGGGTAGCTGAAATCGGCGATGGACCAATACCCCGCTTGCAGCTTTCTGGTATTGTGGTCCTTCAATGCGTTCCCTGGTGTTATTTCATCGGTGTATAGAAGCAGCCGAATGAAATTCCCTGTCTTGTTGAGCGTATCTGTCAACAACGCCCGAAAACATGACGACTCTACACAAGCAGCTTCCATGAATGCGAAAGGGCGCTGAAACCAAATGGTCGTTGACCCCACGTGCACTGGCTGAACTATTTTACCGAGCGAGGTCGCCTGCCCAGCGATGGCCTCTCTCCGCCTCCGTTGCGTAGATCGGCTGAACGCGTCGGGAACATCTTCATCTGTAAGCGCTGCCAAAATGGATTGTAATGCTGACTGGGTGACGTGGCTCTCTCGACACAGGGCTGTCAAGCGAGCTTTCTTGCGCGGCAACTCCATCGGAGCCCTAACTATGGCCACGGATGGTCACGACGTCGGCGCGTCAGAGTCGCGCCCGCGAGGCAATCTTACACTACCACCCCCGCAACACATGCGCCCACAACAAACGAACATTGCCATGGCCAACAGCCCCCCCAACGTCGTAGACCGCTCAACCGCCCTCAATGCAAACCCATAGCGGGCAAGGCACGGTACGCCAAATTTGGCATTGGAGGGCGTCGGAATGTTGAGGCTCTGGTCGGAGGACGGAGGAGGCGCGGGCCCCCGCTCGAGACATCCCAACTTTGAAATCGGGGGGTCTGATTCGGAAGTTGCCGCTCAGGGAGGGGGGGTGCCTGAGACGGGCGGCCTGCTGCGAAAGCTGTATGATTCGGGGAAGGGTGAGGGGGGGGCTGAACAAGGTGGGGTGTTTGGGCGGGCGTCGCGTGCCCTCGGCGCCCCTGGACCCTTGCTGACTCCGACGCGCTGGGCGCCATCCGCCTCCCCCCACGGCTTCGCCGACCGCTGAATGGATAGCGACTTTCTCCCCAACTTC